CACAAAAACATTATACCCTGATTTCCCATTTTCAATGGGTTCAGGGTATAAAAAGAGACGATTCAATAAAGAAGAAGCAGAAAAAAAAAATCATGCCGTCGATGAGTAAGCAACAGGCAATGTGTCTCTAAGCCGATTGTCAGCCCAGTCAATCGCACAGACGGCTGCTAGTGGCCGTCGTTCGTCGTAGTCTCTCGTGTTGTGTCTGTACGAGTCGTCCGTCGATAATAATTTGGCGTTGAGTTTAACTGAATTGTGATTAAACGCGCTACGCAACAGAAAATTGCACTTTTTTTTATCTTTTTGCTTGAGCGTATTAACAAATTCAAAACCGAAAAGGAAAAAAGATCAAGGAACGGATCAATCCACACTGATTGCAAAAGTCGATCATCGGGGCAACAGCTGAAAGCGTGCACTATTAGCTTGAATCGAATCTCTATACGAGTCGAGTATCGGAGTGCTTCAATTTCTGTTGCAGCTACCGATGTTGTCGTTGTCGTAGTTGTTGTTGTTGTCGTTGGTGCTGGGGCAACAGTAGTAGTTGTGCTACAAATCGGACGTAAAATTTCATGGGCCTGCTATTGAATTAAAAACGAGTTTGCTTCATGTTACTGTTGTTGTTGTTGCTGTTGCTAGCTGATGTTGCTTCTACTACTACTTCTGGTTGCAGTAATGGCCGCCTTAATACGCAGACAGCGCCAAGCCCCAGTGCAACGTGCCGCAGCAATAACAACAATAACAACCACATACACATCCAACGGACAACAGTCACTTTTTAGTTGTATAGCTGCGATTGCTGTTGTCGTTGTCGTTGTGCTTGTGTTTGTGCTGCCGTGCTATTGTTTGTTTCATTTTGTTGTCATTTTCGCAAGCGAGCTTAAAGCCCATACAAAGACATTAATATCAATGCATACACGTGTGTATTTATCTATGTAAATGTATATACATATGTACGTATGTACCGTCTTAAATAATTCGGTTGACTACTCCAAACGAAACCACTCAACCATTCGATAAACATTCGATAAACATAGCCTGGTTAATAATCATGTAGAAATAATATGAAACATAGTAAACTACTTTATCAGCATATCAATGTGTTAGAAAGTACTCACACATAAGAAAACTATTTAAATATCTGACGGGTTCGAAATAATGTATGCAACCTATATTAATGCTCATTGAAAATGAATAAAGCCAATTAAAAAAAATGTAAATATTATATTTAGTAAAAAATTTTAAATGCGTTTGTGCGCAATATGTGGTTTCCTCTGATTATTTGGCAAATAAAAAACTGAAATCGTGCCCAAATGTCGCCCACGTACTACGTTGAGGCAGTGTTGTCCAACGATGACGACTTTACTTGCAACGTCGCATCGGCCCAACCCAAACCCCACCCCGTTGCTGATCGTGCTGGGTTACAATCCCCGGGGTGTAGCATTTGTCATCCTGCGGATAAGTGGCGTTTGTTCTCTACGTTCACTTTAGACGCGAGCACTAGACTGCAAAGAAAACAGCTTGCGAATAAATAGTCACAGACCGTCAGTAGCCGAAACGGAAATTGGCAAAAAGCAAAATAAAATTAATACAACGTAAAGGTAAACGTAAATAACAACAATAACAAACACACACCCAAAAAAAAAAAAAACAATATGAGTGCCAACTGTCGCAAGTGCAAATGGTTTTAAGGCCAGAAGAATACGCGGGGCGGACCGAGACCAGAGAGCGAGATCGAGAGTGTTATGAGAGAGGTCTTGAGCGGGCAGACGAACTCGACGAAGTCGTATTCAGAGATTACAGAAGCAGAAGCAGAAGAAGAAGGAGAAGAAGAACGCTCAGCAAGTAACTTTAAGCGAGTCGAACGACAGCAAAGCTTTCCGAACGCGAAAGCTCGCCGTTTTCAAGTCGCACTCGCAAACACACTGGCCATTCGCTGCACGCTGATCAGTTCAAGTTTGTCCGTCGAGCAACGAAGAGCCGAGCTCAAAGCGCGGACAGAAACACAGATAAAGCTCGAGTGCATTTGAAAATAAAATGATGTGAAGAAGAAAAAGCAGCAGCAATAACAACAGAACTAAAGCTACATTCATCGCACTCGTCGTATGATCGGTCGTCCGTCGTCGTGGTATCGGTAGCCAGAGCTGAAAGCGAAACTGGCGCTCAAGTTCAGCGGGCGAATCGACGTCGTCGTCGCCTCTGTCGATTTCTATGCAAATTATTTCTGAGAACACATATAAAAAGCGTGCTATTTATATTTCGCAAATGTCGACTTGAAGCGCCGCCGTTGCCGTTGCTGTTGCCGTTGCCGTTGCCGTCGCTACAGCAGTGGCGGAGACTGTGACGAAAACGAAGACTGGAACTGGAACGGGAAAGGGTACGGGAACGTGAACGTAGACCTGGATTGTAACCCGAGACCAACTCGTCAAGTCGCGCAATACGACAAACGCAGATCGTATCTGTATCTATATCAGCGACAGTCACTGTTTCGACATGTGTGTGTGTGTGTGTATCTGAAGTGTAAAAAGTATTCATAAACTAAAGCAACAATAAAGCAAGCGAAAACGTAAAACGGAAAAAGTAAGCTAAAATCAAAAGAGAAAAAGAGAAAAGAAAAGGAGAAACAAAAATCACGCTGCTTTCCGTCGATCCACAATCGACAATCGGCGGCAGATAAACGTTCCATCAGTCGTGGGTGAGATTGTGTTTATTATTATAGTTTTTTTTTTTTTTTTTGAGATAGTGGCCAGGACGTCAAGTGAAACTGGAAACGATCTCGATAAAGAACTGCGAAGTGAGACATACCCTTATATACTATATACATATAATCGGATATATATATGTATGTTGAAGCTAACACATAACTATGGATTACCTGTGCATATGGAACGCGTTTGAGCAGAACTCATTATTCATCAATCACATCAAGGAAATTGGGCGGCTGGCAGCCGCTGCCGCCGTGTCGCAACAGCCTTCTATTGGCAGTGCCTCGGTATCGGCCAGCGCCACATCTGCGTCTACATCTGCGGCCAGCTCGACGGCCAGCTCGCCCACAGCTGTAAGCAAGGAGTCTACTGCTGCTGCCACTACCTCGGCCTTCTCGTCGACGCAGCACTTCCGAGCCACACCGCACGTAGCCGCGCTTGCGGCCGCGCAACAACAGCTGCAACAGAGAATCGCAGCGGCTGCCTACCAGCAGGGCCAGGCGGAGTTGCCAGCGCAGTCGCCGATGTTTATTAATCAACAGCAGATGCCAGGAGCTGCTCATCAGCAGCAGCCGGGAACTGGCGTCGGCCTGCAACAGCTACAGCAAAACAACTCCAGCATGGCCAACAGCTTGCTGTGGCAACCGTGGCGGGATCTCCAACAAGCAGCCGCCATGCATCACCAGCTCTACAAACAGCAGCAGCAGCAACAGTTGTTCAAAGGTTCGTGTTTCATAGGGGAAATATCGGACAAGAAATCTTAATATCATAGCATACAAACAGAATAACCGCGTTGACCTCCAGCAACGTTAGCTAGAAATCGAATTTGTCACATACAAGTTTCTCATGGAGCACGAGACTAAGGAAAAGAAGATTGAGAGGAGGAGAGTGAGAGAGAACATAAGAAAGAATAGGGAGCAGCATAGGAAATCTACACATCGAAAAAGCACGACCCGACTTAGAAATTGACTATCGCTGTTGCCGTTAGTTTGCTGATTCGCCCTTTGCACGAGTTCCTCACGTGGAGGCAGCCCATCTTCACGTCGAGATCGGGCTGTCGTCAATGGTTTGGGCTACGTGCCAATTTTGATGAATCGACCATTGGAGTACATAGTCTATAGTTTTTAAGAGATCGCTTGCAGGTCAAGCATGGATAGGACGTGCTGCATTCGGTTGGTGACGAAGTAAAAACGTGTCGCTGCCAATATGTTGCGCAAGCACTGATGACGTTGTTGCGAGCCATTTCATTAGCGCGAAATCGGTAATGAAATTCGAAACACTTTTACTGCTAAATTTGCTAAGGCCTGACATTGGTCGTAAATTATGTCACATATTAGGCAACAACGCCTGCGAGTAGAAAACGGCATGCTTACCGTCGTACGGTGCGCAGATCGGGTGAACGTCGTTATATTCGCCCGCAACAACTGTATTCAAACTCGAATCTTGGTCTGTTAGAATTTTCTATATTTAGACTTTTGTGTCTTCGCTTCTCCAGTCTAATACGATTTCCCTATACTTGTAAATCTTCACCAAGTCGAAGTTCTATCAGCAAAGGTTTTGGAAATATATCCGTTTCATATTTAAGCTGTCATAGTGCCTTAAAAATTGACGGCCCTAATCGGAATACGTTCAGAATATTAGATAATCTAACGTAAGCAGACGGAGAGCAAAATGTATATTTTGCGCAAAACCAATATACTCTCACTCTTCACCAATCAGAGAGATATATAGTATATATTATATACATACATATATACATATAAATGCATACATATAAATCCATACACATGTATGTAAATTTATATTTAATTTAAATGGGTCTCTTTATAGAAATATTTTTTAGACACTTTAAAGTTGCTTTAGAACACAAGCGTATTTGGTCTTCGGCGAGCAAAAGATTGTTGTTTTTTATATATATGTATATATATATTTTTTTTAATTTGTTGACATATTAAAACCAGATTTGCAATCAAGTCGGGCACGAGCATGACTCACAAGCCGGCGAAAAAATAATAAGAAACGCCTGCGACGACGACACCGACATCGACAACGATAACGACTGCGACGGCGACGGCGACGGCGATTGTGACGGTGGCTGCGACAACAGTCACAAAAAGAGCAACAACAGCAATGAGAACAACAAATGCAGCAACAACAATTACTAAAACGTGTTTGCATAGGCCGCAAATATTATTTTTCTATTTGCTGTTGGAGTGCGAGAGTAGACCACAGCGACTTTTCGACTGGCTGCGATTCTTGATAGGATGTGCTCTGCGTGCGGGTTGTTTGGGTGATGGAGCAGAAGTCGAGTCGGGAGAGCCATGTTGTGTATGGGACACCTTTTTTCGCCCAATTGGCTTGGGTGGATGCATTTGTTTTGCTGTTGTGTATTGAGTTGGACTCAGCATAAACAGCAATACGAACTGCCAAGCAAACAGAGAAACAACAGCAACGACATCGTGTTTGTAAATGCAACATGCAACAACAAACACTGCTGCACACAGAATACTAAAAGAAGCAACAGACCCGGCCCATGAATGATGAGTCCCCAGTAAAAACCGGACAGAGTTGTCTTTGAGCGACGGCCGGAAATGTGCAATAAAATTTGAATGTTTCTTTATTATTATCATCATCCCCATCATCTTCCGCTGCAACCAGAAGCAAGTCTCGCCGCTTCTGTTGTTGCTGTTGTTATTCTTGTCCGTCTGATTTTGTTGTTGTTTTTATTTTGTGTATGTTTTGCTTTCGGTCCACTCCACGAAACTCTGAAGAGCAACCAGTTTGTGGCACCTTTAGTGACGCAGGCACAGAAAATAATAATAACTTTCAGCGGCAGCGGTGACGTTGCCAAAAAGGGACCAGAGTAACTGGTTCCACCAAAGCAACAGCAACAGCAACAGCAACAGCAACGGCAACGGCAACAGTCAGGACCAAATCCACATCCAGGTCCAGAGCTACAGCAACATCGACAGCCGCCTCCACCAACGCCACAAGCTCCTTCATTCATACATTCATTCATGCGCTCGACTATGCCTTGGCCGAGAGGCGAGAGCAAGGCAGGCACCTCTGCTCGAAATGTGCAGAAGTCGTTTGACGGGTTTGCCTGCCCCTTTTATTTTGGGTTCGAAGACGCGGTTTCGAGTCGCCTGCTGTACGTTAGCTTTGACTTTTTCTCTTGCCCTCGCTTCTTGAGAAGCGGCCAGCAAATCAGGAACAGAAATTGCCAGTTGGCGCGCATGTGGTGAGGTGAGGGTATCTGGTTTTCGGTGCCAAGCTGTGCCAATCTGCTTGATGCCCACGCACCACCTTCCCACGCAATAAACTCGAACAATATCTATTTGGGATGCCAGCCATGTTTGTCCAGACGAGGAGGCCCAGCGTCTTATTCATTGTAAACGCTTTACAGTCGCATACACTGACGCATTCACCGTGATGGTAGAAAAACTAGTTTTGTTAACCAACTTTTGTGACTCGGAGTCTCGATTTTGTATTTTTATTTTGTGTGCTCTTCGCTATTGTTGTTTTTGGACTCTTTTCGCATTTTATTTTAGGTTTATTTTTATGCCCTGAGCCCTGAATTGAAAATGGGAAATAAGGGTAAAATGGTTTCGTTAAAAGTATGTAACAGGCAGAAGGAGGCGTGGCAGACCCCATAAAGTATATAT